TCTCATGAAGCACCATTATCTCATTGCTCTCATTACGTGATACGAACGCCCGCATACAGCATCCGCCGGAGACGCGCCCATAGAGTTCGTGACCATAGACAAAGAAGTGAGCTTTTGTTTTTTAATTTTATCGACAGCTCTCACGGTTTTTGATAGCTATGCATATTGAATTTAGATTTCGAACACCCCTCTAACTTTTTAAAGGGTTTGGGCTGGGGCTACTTTAAACTGATGTAGGGGTTGATGAATAACGAAACAAGTACTAAAATTTTATTGTGCAATTCCTATTGCTAAAATTATTGTGTTATGCGTATTTTGCTTTTGATTCATCGTGTCACAATGACTTTAAACATAGTAATTACTATTAAAAAAGTACCTTCTACCGACTCGTATAAAAACTATCTTATCATTCCTTAATTTTGGAGGATTGGTATCATTCTTCAAATTTTAGTGGAACCAAACGGAAAGTATCGTAATTACCTATATCATCCAATACAAAATAAATATGAAAATGGTTCGTAAATAAATTGAGCAGCCGAACCTCCTCATTTATTTAAAGTCGGTTGAAACACTACCAACGTATTTATAAGTTTCTAATAAAATTAATGTCAGTTCTTATTGTATTCTCAGCTGTATTTTTTCTTTGAAAAGATAACTTCCGCATAATTAATATAAATCCTGTGTCGCTTGGACTTTACTAACATACATGAAACACAAAAAACACCGAAACTCAGAACAACAATTTTTGCATCGCACAGTGTTGTCCCAAGTGGGTATCGATCCCTCAACACTCAGCGCAGTAGGAAGCGTAGCGACCGCTTAAACCACTACGCCATCCGTGCAGTGCAGAATATACACAAACGAACATATCCAAAAATACATACGTTTCGTCCAGAAGAGATACGTTCCCCAGGGAGGGAAATACCCATTAACTTTATTAAATCAAAGTTTATTCTGATTTCAAACTCGTCGCTCTGTGGTATGATGGTAGCAAGTCGCGAACATAGAAATTTACTTAAGTTAAATAACGAAACGCCCTCTGTTTGCGTTTGAACGTCAAACAGTCGGATATTGTGGCCGTCTCCGCTTTATTGCAGCGCTATTTAAGCTGTATGAATATGCACGGGTTCAGCGTTTTCCTTTTTCAATGAGATTTTAATGTTATTTGTAGATAATATTGACGATTTCTGTTTGAAGGTCGTAAGATGAATAGATAAAGGGATGAAGGGATAATGTGATTAAATTACAATAGATCTCAAAATTGTGGTGAAGAGAAAGTCCAGAAGAAGGAAAAGAAGATGCTCTAATAACCTATAATATATTGAAACTCATTTGTAATAATAATTATAAGCTAATGCACTTATTTCTTTAGGAAGAACGTATTTTTTAAGCTACTATTAGAAAAATATTTTTGATTATTGCTTATAAAGATGTGTTATGGAATGTAAGCAATGTCTTAGAACAAGTCGTATACCTGGTCGCAACTAGAATTGGCTATTGCCGCAAAGTTCAAGTTTAACAGAACTTAAATAGGCACAATGTTTCTGAGAATTAAAAAAACCTTGTGTAAGTAACGGATGATGCAACCTAATGACAATCTCTCATCCTATCAACCCCCTCCATTTATATTTACAAACCGTGAAATATTCCAAATATTTACATTACAAAAATTCGTCACCTCTATTAATATAACTGTCAGAGACACGCGCCCTATTTCCCACATTCGCAAAATTCAAATCCTTTACAACAATGCTTCTATAATCTCTGGCCATGTCGATATAAATTTCATAAACTCGGCGCGACCCTGACAATAGGTTAGGTCCATGAATAATCTCCATTTTGACGCTGTCAACACCAGTCGTTTTGCGCCAAAACAAACGTCAAATGCGAACAATGGCGGCGCGCTAATCCAAAGATAATGCGTTGTTATTATAATTGGGCTGTAGTTTGTGCATTGTTGGCTTGTGCAGGTTAATTAGGTTTATTGATTTGAGATTCGGAAGTGTCTGCGTGAATGGTTTTGTTTCGGAGGATAATAGAACAGTTTTATTTAATTAGATCAATTTAAATAGTAAGTGAAATGCAGTTTAGGGACCTACATATAAGAATCACGAAACAATATTCATGCTGCATTAAGACATGAGACATCATTTATGATTTAGGTGTTACAGAAACTAGGAATTAAATTTGTTGAGGATCAACATCAGTTAGCTAAGATGATCTTTTGGATAGAAAGTAAAAGTGGCTTCTGCTGGGTACCAGTAGTGGATTAGCCACGTAGCAAGAGTAGCTAATGCTACTGGCCCCGCGCACCAACGTGTTCTGACCGTATTTTTTTTCTATCAAAGTGTGAACATGTTTTTGCAAATCTATATTGATAATTCTCATCACGAAAGATTTGCATCTAAATGTCCAACTTTAATGTAAAATTTTGTACCTTTCTGAGCGTTGGTTGCACCAGAAATTATGTTTTGCACTGCAGCCAACTTTCCAGTGCCATTGATCGGACAAGTGGCCCCGTGTACAGCGGTCCCATGAAGTAAAAGGATTCGTCTTTTTCATGGCCACCCATAAGCCCAGCGCCACGATGCATCCGACCACCAAAGAGTCATACCTGGTGGCCAGGCACGTCGCCTCTTAAAAGTTCACTCCACGAATAAAATGTTATCGTCGTAATAGATTACGCCAACCTGGGAGGAAAAGCCACCTCGAAGGGCCCAGTCGTACCCCATGTTACACAGGAGGGACCCCAATACCAGAGCCCTGTCTAGTGCACCAGCCAACCCGTCTGGCCAGGCCAGGCCCCTTGATAGAATTTGCTACAGGGCAGACTTAATCCGGCACATCACATCATCATCACATCAACAGCCTATAATAGTCCACTGCTGGACATAGGCCTCTCCTTAGAAAGGAGGTTTTGGCCTACTATACCACGCTGGCCAGACGGGTTGGTATAGGGTTTGTGTCAAGTTTTCCTTCTCTTTGCAGTGCTGTTGACCTGCGTCCCTTAGTCCTTAGTCGACTCTTACGACACCCACGGGATGAATAGGGGCGGTGACACACGTATTCTTAATCCGTCACCACACGTTTTTTCATTTATAAATTAATTCACGCGACATCAACCAGTAAAGTTACCAGTCATCATGATTTTTTTCAAAATCTTGAACAATTGTTGCAAAGTCCAGTTTTTTTAAATATAATTTTAAATAATATCAAATCTTTTATAAATGTAATAATTTATACACCTAAATCTTCCTAAAGAATCTCACTATTCATTGGTAAAACCGTATAAAAGATCATATAATTTTGAAGTTTATCACATTCAGACTGACAGATAAACATGGCGGGACATTTATTTCATAAGATGCAGCGATTACGAGTGTCATCCAGTTCCTCATTAACCACAAACATACGTTCATAGGTATACATACGCTGTTTTTGATTTAAACATTTCAAAAGCTTAATGGAAGTAATGGAACAGAAAAACATAGATTTCTTGATCATTTAAACATTTTTCTTCTTGTTACATTGTAGTACTTAGCACGAAACTATAAAAATCACTCGTAAAACACAATTATGTTTACAATTTGTTCTGTTTACACTTTACTTTGGGTTACAACGCGTGTATACAATGTCGTCACGCCGAAGGCGTCACATGCCAACCGCATGGGATCATAAATCACAGGATGAACGCATAGAACGCCTCTAGCGGTGGCCGGAGTCAATTACAGAAAACGCCCACAAATGTGTTCGTAATGCCCCGAGGTTGGTACCACTGTATCGTCTAAATAGGGGAGTCTCTATTTGATGTAATCAATTGAGGACAAATTAGATTTCTTTGTTGCATTATTGCGGTTGGTGAACTCCGTTTATTTTTAGTCTATTATGGTAGCGAAAAGTTTTATCTTTTGTTTTTCAATGTATTTAAAACTGGTATAATGATTATCTAACATGTATATGCTCTTACATATTGGTCTAGTGATTAGTGATTTTGACTGCTAAGCGATCATCTGTTTAGTTTCTGTTTGTATTTATCCATAATATGGTTTTTGTGCACAAAGTGCAATCATTTACCTACATTCAAATCAGTACATCATTTAAAGTGTTGAGTAGCTTTGGGACAATGTCTAACATTGCAAATAATTTTGGCTGCTTTCCTTTTTTGAGTGACCGCCTGTTTGCTATCTGAACCTCTTTAGAAATGTAATCATTTTTGGCAATGCAAAGAGGTAAATACAGCCTTAAACAGTGAGCTGCTGGATATAGACGTCTCCTTAGAAAGGAGGTTTTGGCCTACCATACCACTCAGACCAGACAGGTTGGTATATGGTTTGTTTCAAGTTTTCCTTCTCTTGCAGTGCTGTTGTCTTGCGTAGTTTACTCTCTCAGTCGGTTTTCACAACACCCATGGGATGTATAGGGGTAGTGACACTCCGTATTCTTAATCCGTCACCACACAGAATGAAGGAAAATTAGGGTACGGAATTATCTATACAAATAAATAAAATTGGAGTGTCTGTTTGTAATATTAAAATAGCCGCTTTTTACTAAATGCATATGTATGTTTACACGGTACATATGCCAAAATAACATTTTTTTCAATTTTTGTCTGTCTGTCTGTCTGTTTGTTCCCGGTAATCTCTTAAACGGCTGGACCGATTTCGACGGGACTTTCACTGGCAGATAGCTGATGACATAAGGAGTAACTTAGGCTACTTTTTTAGACTAGCTTCGCCCCGCGGCGTTGCCCGAGGTTATAACAACAAACGCGGGTAACACCGCGGGTCTCAGCTAGTTATTAATATAATAAACCAACTTTATCTCCGCCCTCGTGGATATCAGTTATGTCGTTAAAAAGTAGTCTATAGCAGTCAGTGTTAATATACCTTTCTAACAGTGAAAGAATTTGAAACCGGATATTACCCTGAACATACAAACTCACAAACTTTACCTCTTTATAATATTAGCATAGATAACAAATACTAGAGGAAACCTCTTACCTGTGTGGGCGTTAGATGTATGAGTGACGCGAGGTGTTCCCTCTCTGGCGCTGACAGGTACTTCTGCTGCTTAAACCGCCTCTCCAGCTCGTACACCTGGACAATACAAAAAAGTTTATTATTAGTTAATGCCCTATACATAAACACTGACGATCCCAGAAACGGATTAAGTTTTTTAATTTTTAGCTGATAAGTATAGCCCTTTTAGGTTTGGGTAAAAATACATCAGTCAGAAACCGGAAAAAAAAAGGTTACCGCTCTGATCCGTCCACCTAAAGGCCTATAGCCATGACTCCCTTGTTCTCTAAGGTTATGGAATCCGTATCCAACTGCCAGTTCCTCCGGTACTTTCAAAATCACCAGCTATTCAATGACCGACAGTATGGTTTTCGCCGGAGTCGCTCAGCTGGTGATCTTCTCGTTTATCTAACACACCGATGGGCACAGGTAATCGAGACCAAGGGAGAGGCTTGTGCGGTAAGCTTGGACAGAGCGAAGCTTTCGATCGGGTGTGGCATAGGGCGCTTCTCTCGAAGCTCCCTTCCTATGGGCTTCCCGAGAAATTATGTAACTGGGTCACCAGTTTCCTTGCAGGTAGAAGCATTAAGGTCGTTACCGACGGTGCATGCTCCGACTTGAAGTCAGTAAATGCTGGTGTCCCGCAAGGCTGTGTGCTATCACCCACACTGTTTCTTCTGCATATCAATGATATGTTACGAACTAGTTGCATCCATTGCTATGCAGATGTTAGCACGGAAGATGCCTTTTATACCGGCCATCCAGATATTTCTCGGGAAAACGTCATCGAGATTCGAAAAGAACTTGTGTCTGAAGTTGAAGCTTCCTTAGCGGAGGTATAAGCTTGGGGTCGACTGAATCTGGTCCATTTTGACCCAAAAAAGACAAAGGTTTGCGCGTTCACCTCAAAAAAGATGAGGTTTGTCGTATTGCCTCGGTTCGAGAGCATCAACCTAACTGCCTCAGCCAGTATTGCAATCCTAGGCATCGAAATCTCGAGCGAAGTCCATTTTTGCGGTCATTTAGAGGGTAAGGTCAATTGGCTTCGAAGAAGCTCGGTGTGCTGAACAGATCGAGTCAGTATTTCACTCCAGCTCACCGCTCCGCCCGCGTCAGTTGTATCGGTAAAAAGTCATCATCATCAACAGCCTTTAATAGTCCACTACTGGACATAGGCCTCTCCTTAGAAAGGAGGTTTAAAGTAAAAAGTAATCTATGTTAATCGCTGATAGTGTAGCTTGTAGTTTGACTGCACGGATGGCGTAGTGGTTTAAGCGGTCGCCACGCCGCTTCCTACTGCGCCGAGTTTTGTGGGTTCAAACCCCACATGGGACGACACTTTGTGTGATCCACAAATTGTTGTTCTGAGTCTGGGTGTACTTTATGTCTATATTATGTATGTTTGTAAAGTCCCCCGCAACACAGGATATATGCCTAGTGCGAGAGTTGTCTTTTAAAAAAAAAAAAAGAAACGCCTTATATTAATAATAATAATATAATATTCTACCACATTCACACAACGCCATCTAGTCCCAAACTAAGCAGAGCTTGTAGGTACTATGGGTACTAGACAACTGATATAAATACATATACCCATACTTTTTTTTTGTAAATACATACATATTATACATAGAAACACCCAGACCAAACCAAACATTAATTCACACAAATGTTTGACTTGAGCGGGAATCGAACCCGCGACCTTTGGAATAGCGGTCCGTTACACAAACCACTACGCCGTCCAATCGTCAAAGAAAGAAAGAGTTTTTAAAATCGGTTTAGTGGTTTAGGCGTGAAAGCGTAACAAACAAACAAACTCACTCACATTTATCTAAGGTATATAATATCAAAATATTTTGACAATATTGAACTGTTCATTTTTTTTTATAGGTAAGTTATAAACAGTATTGTCACTAAGTACCTATTTTGTTTCCTTAGTCTAATTCCATTTTTTAAATCAACGCTCTAATTTGAAAAATCCTAGTGAATCATGAGCATTTTTATTTGTCAATCGCATATTTTTGGCGGCCCAAATAATTATCGTAAAAGAGATTAAAATCATGACTGTTGATGCCATTTTAGAAATTAGTGTTGCCTGCCTTTAGTTCTTTGTAACCAGTTACTCATAAGGTATTTAATATTAACAAGCTAGTCCCCAAAGTAAAAGCATATTGGCAAAAAGCCATCGCGGAGGTGAGTTTATTTTATTAAAAAAATAAAAACCTAGAGATACCTACTGGATCCTACCTGGACCTTAACACAATAAATACTACTTATGTTAAAGATTTAAAAGTAATACAATTATGTTTTACACAGCTTTCCATAACGTCACAATTGTTCAAAAGCACACACAGAGAAACACACACAAATATTTTGCATAATTTACGCACACAGACACAATAATATTGCCCTGTGTGCACACACACATAGCAACGTCAAAGTCACACTGTGTGCGAGACGGAAAATTCCAGAGAAATAGAATTAATTACACGGCGCGTTGGGCGGCTGGGCGGGGCCGTGGGCGGGCGCCGCCCTACGACGTTAACGTAATTTCGACTTTAGTTAGCTTTTGAACGCGGGTATGCCTGTTTGTGGACGTTATATTAAATTTAAATTTGAATAATGGTAGAAATTATTTATACGATTTAAAGTTTTGAGGAGTTTTGTTAGAAAATTACAGGGAAATCAGAAATTTAATTGTAAAAAGAAAGTGAATATTATTAATTTTAAAATTGTAATGCTCTTAAATGATTGGAGTTGGTAGTAACTATAAATTGACTCTAATTTTACCAACAAACTACCAGTTAACCGCATTTTTACATGTGTTTATGGTCCCTGTTCTACTCCTAAGGATTGTAGCGTAATGTTACATACCCTATAACGTAAGCCTAACCCTCAGTGAATTCTCGTCTCCTTATTAATACTATAACGACTGAAATTTCGAAAAGAAATACAGTAAAGCTTAAAATAGCAAAAAGGCTAGTTTTTATCGCAGTCAAAACGTATAAAGCAGTTAATTGTCCTACAGTTCGTGACATTTTTCCGTTTTAACTAATAATTACTTAACAAATAATCATGGAATTTGACATACAGTCAAGTCAATATCGAAAATAATATAATTAGGATGAAAATCTAGGAAAAAAGTAGGTACTATTCCCGAGAGATTAAAAACTAATTTCATTTTTATTTTTTTCTTGTGTATTATTTTTTTGTTTAGGTAATATATTTTCTGCGCTTCCAATGTTTGTGCAAAATTAAAGGTATTTCTTACTTTTCTTTAATGTGCCTCTCCAACTAGCGAAGGTTAGCAGACGCGTCTCTTGCGAAACCGTTCTGGATATTCCTCAAGACTACTTCCTACGCCCAATTTTCCCATCGCTAAGGGCTTTAACCATCATAAAAATATTTTGTATCTATGTGTATGTGCTTTCTATGTTTTACTATATAGGCATACATACCTACAATGTCTTTTTATAATACATGACATAGGCCTCTGCTCAGAAAGGCGGTTTAGGCTTACTATACTACGCTGGCCAGACGGGTTGGTACAGGGTTTGTTTCAAGTTTTCCTTCTCTTTGCAGTGCTGTTGTCCGGCGTAGTTTACTCCCTTAATCGGCTCTTACGACACCCATAGGATGAATAGGGGTGGTGACACTACGTATTTCTAATACTTCACCACTCGTTAGGATACTAATAATTAACTTTAAAAAAAGGTATAACTGCTACATGGTTATAAATTGAAATAACCCACATTCTGCATTCCTTAAATTTCATCCTTTGTATTCTAGTATCCTGGGTTTTTTTTCAAATTTTAATGGAACATAAACCGGAAATACATCCCTTTGAAATAAAAAAATAATTTGAAGTTGGCTTTTTGAGATAACAAACACATAGAAACAAAACAAAACCACCTTGTTTTATCTTTAAATGAGATTCAAATCAAAACAGTTCAATACGTACCTAAGACCTTAATTAAATAAGCTAAATATATAATATATAAAAGAAAACTAATTAAAAACTCTCATTATCCTCAGTCAGTCCCAAATTATACCGAAACAGAGGAAGCTACAAAACTAATTCTCTGACGAAGTTCTGTTGACTCTACCTCCCCACCCCCTAAGGCAGGGGCAAAGTACCTACACTACGGTATTCTCGCTGTATAAACTCGTATTTGCGAATTCCCGAGGGGAGCTTTATTTGCCGATCATTTTACAAATAAATGCGGCCTAGGGGATGATACCTGCCTCAATTCGTGAAATTAAGAACGCTATGCATGTTGCTCAAAAGTCGCGGAATAAGTATAGGTAAGGTTTTGCGATTTACTCAAATGCCGTGGTACTGGCACTTGAAATTAATGTACGATAATTTAAAAAGCTTATAGCTTCAGTACACAACTCACATAAATACCTATGTTACATCTGTCTGTAAATATCTATCTATTCTTAGTTATACCTACTTTTTAAATGAATGCAAATATGCCTACATTTCATGGTGTTTTTTTTTATGTTAGAGGTGGCAGGCGAGCAGACGGGTCACCTGATGGAAAGTGACCATCGCCGTCCATGAACGTCTGCAACTCACGCGGCCGACCTTTTGAGAAGGAGTAGGCTCTTTTCTTGAAGATTTGAAGGTCGTATCGGTCCGGAAATACCGCAGACGATTCCGTTCCACAGATCGATTAAGGCAGCGCGAAATCACATCAAGTAGAAAAGCCGAAAATCGTGAAGATATTTTTTATACTTGCTTTTTTACTATAAGTATTTCGAGCAAATTTCGCAAAAGACTTGTATGAAACTTCTTAGACTGAGATATTGTATCCAGGCTGAAGACACTGTCAGACAGAAATTGAGTTGTACACTGGCACAGTCACGGTCGAATGTTAGTGATAATTTCTAATTAAAGAGCGATATCACAAAGTGATTATCATTCGCCATACTGAGTGATCTAATGACCGAATGAATGGTAATCTAACATGACTGCACGGATGGCGTAGTGGTTTAAGCGGTCGCCACCCCGCTCACTACTACGCTGAGTGTTGTGGGCCCGATCCTCACATGGGACGACACTTTTTGTGACCCACAAATTGTTGTTCTGAGTCTGGGTGTACTTTGTGTCCAAAGTCCTCAGCAACACAGGATTTATTCCTAGTGCGGGAGTTGTCTTTTTTTAATAAAAAAGTAAAGCCTTACATTGGTGTTCTTTGTGTCCGTTTCATGTATGTTTGTAAAGTCTATGTTCGTAAAATATTAATTCCTAGTCCCGCATTAGGAATTAATATTTTACAAACATAGACTTTAACAACTTGTCTTTTAAAAAAATTGTCTTGTCCATTTTATTTTTATTTTAAACTAGACTTCCTAGAGACAATTCTTTCATAAAATTCTTCTGTCTAACCATGAATAGACCGCTTAACTAGGGGTTCTCTGTTCCGCGTGAATCGTGATGACCGTGACGAGTATAGTAGGTAGGTATAATTCTAGGGTGGTGCCATGGTGACCACATCGACTGTTCCACTATTGAGATACCTTTTATTATTTGTGACGTTAACTTGTTGTAAGCTTGGATAATCTATCTCTTATCACAATAGCTTAGAAATAAATTTATTTTTGACAGACTTCACGCAAAAGAAGTTTCTCAATTCGCTTGTTTTTTTATTTTTTTATGGTATAAGGGGGCAAACGAGCAGACGGGTCACCTCATGGTAAGCAACTACCGCCGTCCATGGACACCTGCAACTCAAAAGTCACAAATGCGTTGCTGCTTTTGGAATCGCTTCAAACCCAGGACAAATATTTAATATTATTATTTTCGGACATGTGACATACAACGCTATTTAGTTTTAAACTAAGCAGAGCTTGTACTATGAAAGCTAGATTGACTGATATAATAATTATAGACTTTTTTTTGGAAAGACACATATTATTCATACCAAACTCCGAAACAAATATTTGCAGATAATACAAACATTTGGTCCGACCCGGGAATTGAACCCGAGACCTAGGCACAGCAATCGCATATGTTACCACCGCACCACTAAGGCAGATATATATTGTTATATGTCTGAATGTAATTAATCTATAATATGTATGTATTTGGCAAAAAAGTGAACGGTGGATAGCAATAGGCCTGCCTACGTAAGTGGATCTAAAATTATAGTCGACTAAAGGTGGTCGTAATAAACGTTTCTATCTGGAGTAGATAGAGTAGTTTAATACGATCACCTCCGGGCTATAGACGTGAGTGTATGTTATGTACTACGAACAACAATGTAAGATTATTTGATGCGCATTCTCTCCTTAACTGCTGAACCGATTATCATAAAGTTTTACATATCCTTTATTAAGAGTACAGGTATAGGTACATTAATGAACACAGAATACATTTCATCTGGCAAAATTGATTCCTAAATCGATAAAATATACAAAATTGTGACACGCAAACCTTTTTGTAAAAGAAAACCCAAAAAAAACCAATGTTACGCCATTATTTCCTTGTTTTTTACCGAGTGAGTGAAGTTCCCGGAGCTCAAACCCTTCCTCTTCTTCTTCTGGGGGAAGAACTCAAAAGCCGGCTACGCATTTGTGACTCTTAAGTTGCAGGTGTCATGCACGGCGGTAGTCACTTACCACCAGGTTTGCTCGCTTGCCTTCATACACCATAAAAAAGGAGATTTATTAAAAGACTTACCTGTGCCTGCGTAAAGAGCACCCTCCTCTTCCGTCTCTGGGCGAGTGGGAACTGCATCGGCTTGGCATCAGGACCAGCGCACGCGGCCAGGCCTCCCATGTTGTTCACGTGGCCCATCCCGCCCGATGTTGACGTCATTAGCCTGGAAACTAAAGCAGCCGCTCAGATACGCACACTTTGGAATACTAACTTAAATACCATAGAGGGAAGTGCCAGGATCATACACCTTAAGTCTTCAACTGCAGTTGCTTAAGGGATTTTTGAAGATTTTTTTAAGACAGACGGGGAGCAAGCGGTCCCAATAATACTTTTTCAGTTTAAGTTTTGTTAATTCTCACACATATATGGTTACGTCCTTGTGGTGACGGATTAAGAATACAGAGTGTCACCACCCCTGTTTATGTCGTGGGTGTCGTAAGAGCCGACTGAGGGAGAAAACTACTTAGGACAACAGCACTGCAAAGAGAAGGAAAACTTGAAACAAACCGTATACCAACCCGTCTGGCCAGCGTGGTATAGTAGGCCAAAACCTCTTTTCTAAGGACAGGCATAAGTCCAGCAGTGGACTATTAAAGGCTGTTGATGATGATGATGATATATAGATTTATTTTAAATTGTATTACGAATGAGTCTTTGTGAGAGATTAGTAATCTGTACTAGGTACAAAGACCTGTATTACCTACCAATTACCAGCCTCTTCTCTTTGCTCTATATAGTTGTGGTGCTTTAAGCAGGTGTAACCTAGTTAGATAAAAGTGCATTGGTATGATGGTAAGGTGATACAGTCACCCATACCCAAACAAATTAATTGTATCTACAAGGCAAAAGGTTTTTTGAAAGGCCCTTAGTGCTGGAGTGCAAATAATAATAATAATAATTTACTAAGAAGATCTTCACAAGTTTTATACAATAGCAGAAGTAGGTACTTAAAATTGAAGACATGTCACAAAGAGTGATGGGCGTGTCTAAAGCCGAGCTAGTTTATAAACCTATATCTCAACATGTAGCGTCACCCAGTTACATGTAAATACTATGTTACAAAAATGACAATGCGATGGAAGATACTAATTTTAGAGAAGACCAAACCATTTGTGAATGTGTGTGTATGTATAGGTGTGTACATAGGTGTGTGTGACCCAATCACATATTTGATCAACATTCAATAACCATTAGATTTTCAGTTTCGTCATAAGACAGATTATGCAAATAGGCATAAATTTTACTCTTATTAATAATATCCATTTGGTTCGGATGGAAATTTTATTAATGTTACATATTTTTCTTAAAAAATCTTTTGTTTTTTGGCACGAATAACTCTTGAATTTTAAGAATTTGAATTACTAGAGAATGTATGTAGGAGTATTACGTAGATGTACCTATCTGTTTTACATTTTCATATATAAATAACTCTAGAGGCAAGTGCCAATTAGCGTTCTCAAGACTTTAGGTTTAATATCTTTAGGTTGAATTGTTTATATAATTATCACGGAGCTTTTTCTTTTGAAAGACGTAAGAAGCTACCTTGTTCACACCTACTGGTATTCTTATTATCTTATCCAACAAAGCTATTATATATTGCTTGTTTTAGGAGTGGGTTTATCACGGTAGTGTATCGAACCCACAACCACTTGATCGCAAGTCCGGTCAAATTACGCCACTGCTATTTAAATATATATAAATCATGTTTAAAAAAAAGTATAACCGACTTCATACCATAACAGACATAACTAACAAAGAGCACTAAAAAACTAGCAGCAATCGCGGTTGATTTGCTGTCCTTTTTTTAAAAGTTTCGTTGTCTGTCTCCGAAACTCATCATCAGATCTATATGAAATTTAAATGGGACCATTTCGGAATAAACCCCTTTCGAACAAAAAAATAATTTTGAAAATCCGACAATACATGACGGGGTTATGCCCGAACATACATTTAAAAGAAATAAATAAAAATCCGAATTGATAACCTCCTTTTGAAGTGGATTAAAAATAAAAGCTCAAACAATAACTAATATTCGTCATTACCAATATTACGTTGTGCTAGCATAATAATTATGTTAAACTCCAATTTAAAAGGCTTTAAAAATTTGTTGTAAAATGGTAAAAACTTTGTGAAAAGTTTTTTTATTTCTAAATTAGAAACAGTAGGCAGATAAGCAGTTAGGCCCTCGCCGTCATATTAAGTGAGTTGCCGCATAAGGAAAATGTCCGTTTTATCGACACTAACAAAATAAAATCTCAAAGGATGAAAATCTCACTAAAATACGCAATTAAGAACAGTGTCATATCACTTTAATAACATTTATGTCCATGCGTACATATTACATAAGGAGAGTAGCGAGCGAAAAATTAAAATTAATAATTTCTCGCAGTAGAAATTAATCTCTCAGCACAGGCAACATTTAAGCGGCCCGCCATTTTCTTAATGACACTAGATGAGATGATTTCCCGCGCTACTTTGCACTTAAAAAGTTTACAGAATCACGTTTACCTCAATAAAATTGATACAAAAAATATAGTATAGAGAATATCTAGTAGAACTAACTATTTGGCTAGAATCAAATTTAAAAAATAAAAGCTTGCGAATAAGAAATGTCGAAACAATAAGTATATTAAAATTATTCCGGACAGAAGTTCGTGTCGAAATTCGGCAACAGCAGCAATATCCTGAACATTACACACGTTTGCCCGCTTGTATTTACACAACACTCGACCGAAAGGGTCTTTCAATAAAATATTACTCCCTATTCTGTCTTCATCCATTGTGCGCACGGCTGTATTGTGCGATATCTTTGCTTCATCAAAAAAAGAAAAAAAACCTTTCAGTAGCTGTGGGTTCTTTACGTTTTAAAAACTAAGTATTAGTTGTTTTTTTATTTTGTTACTAGCTTTTGCCCGCGGCTCCGCCCGCTTGTTTGTCAGTTATCGCGGTAATAAATCTTTATCTATGTCTTTCCTCAAAAATCAAAGTTTCTCCATGCCGAATTTCATTTAAAATCGGTGCCGCGGTTTAACCGTGAAAGCATAACAGACAGACAGATTTACTTTCGTATTTATAATTTTAGTACAGAGATAGAGGTATATTGGAATCTGCATTATACTATGTTCTAAATACTAATTTTACTTTAATTATAAGAAAGATAGAATGTAAGGTGTAATTATTATTAAGAAAATTGTGCAATACAGATCATATCAATATTCCTTTAATTCGTAATCGTCCATTCGTAGCAACTACGATGATATCGTGCCTTTGTGCGAAGATTTGAATGTAAGTAAATAAGGTAGGTACAGGTATAGAAGCTGTAATCTGATTTTCTATACTTAAGATGTTAAAAACCTAACCACATAATAAATAGGTATTAAGTAACAAAATTTTAAACGGTACCCTAAAAAACTGCCAACACGGTCGGTTCGAAATTCAAATGTTTTCACATTGTCAGGGAACGACCGGACATTTTGTTATCTGTGCATCTCGATTTAATTTAAATTTGGAACGTAGCGCTATTCCATGATGGCGGCTCAACGGTTCAATGGCAGATTGAAGGCATTTTAGATTTTATCGAATCGTTAAATGACACGTAAAGGGGCTGTTTACAAACATTCAATAGATTTTAAATAAAAGTTGAATAGTAGTTTGATTTTCTTTTAATTGGGTATTTGTATTGATATCTTTTTTGTTGGTGTAAGAGAAATAAGTTTTGTTTGTTGTAAGTTTGATGTAGGTATTCTAAATTTGATTTTCATTATACTCTATTTAAAAGTCTCGGGTGCTTGTTTTGTCTATTACCTACTTATTATTTTTAGCGTTTAGTTGTCAAAGCAAAGTTTCTACGTAAATAAATATGTATATGTCTTACTTACATTTTCCATAGATATATTAAAGAGTTAAAAATAACTTTGTTTTTCATAAAGATACAGACACTTCACACTTTTATCTTTAGTTTTTAGATTACGTCAATTTCTATTTCTATCAAAAGTGGTTAAAAATAAACTAATTAAAACGCAAAAACTATTTATAGAAGCGTATAAATTGAAAACTGACCAGAGACTAAAAAGCTAGTACATTAAAATGTTACTATTATCTTGTAACTTTTTGGTAATTTATGAATATTTTTATTACATACGTAAATAGCGACTTTTGACCAGATACTTCTTAAGTACATAAAATGTTGTTCGTCTTATTAAGTTTAATACTCTTTCTATGTATTTCTTTAGCTTTTGTAATGAAATCTAATATTTTGTTTTATTTTACTTTGAACTTTCTGTTAGAAATACATCTAACAAAAACTTATCTTTTATTTTTTACTACCTCATCCACAATATATATTTATAAACTTGTACGGAATGTCACCACCCCTATTCATCCCGTAGGTGTCGTAAGAGCCGACTAAGGGAGCAAACTACGCAGGACAACAGCACTGCAAAGAGAAGGAAAACTTGACACAAACCCTATACTAACCCGTCTGGCCAGCGTGATATAGTAGGCCAAACCCTCCTTTCTAAGGAGAGGCCTATGTCCAGCAGTGGACTGTTATAGGCTGTTGATGAAGCTTGTTTTATAGAACTAGTTTCTATTCTAGAATTAATCTTGGCCTGTCCTAGATCGTCTAAAAAATATAAGTAATTCTGGCTTATTTGAGCCCCGTCACCTCCACATTCCCTTCCCTCTATTATAATGTCTGCGAGCTCACAATTCTGTAAAAATACATATACTTATGTCCCCGTGACAGGGGTCCGTTAGAGACGCATATATTTTGACAACAAATACCGGTGTAATTGAACCGGAGTGGACAAGGGATGGCGGGTGTCCAAACATGTCGTGCCAACGAAACTGTTTTCATGGTCGACATGTTAAGCTTAAAATATAAGTGCATTTGGAAAAATCGATTTGAGATAGAGAGAGACAAGGTAGTATTTTTATTTTGTAGTTTTATTACAAGCTAACTGGCACCCGCGACGTTAGGGTGGAATTTGCAAAGCGCTGTTTTAGTGGTGTAGTACGGTATGCGCCTGCAGTCCATGAGGCCTCGGGTTTGATTCCCGGACCGGGCAAAATATTATAGGGTTTTTCTGAGAGGAAAAATAACCTAAGTTATTCCTTATATAGACAGGTTTTACAATATTAACAAAATCTCTTTTGGA